TTGAATATCATGTTCTTCCATATATTTAAGCTTTTCACTTGATACTGTTATTGTTAAATAAAAGACTAAGACTGAACTGTTGTGAAATTCCATGAAGGGATGTTGTCTGTTGTGTTTTTCATTTAATGATTACAACTAAGCAAGATAAATTTTCCTTTGCAAATACTATAGCTAAAATAAAGAAAAACCTGTTTAGGAACCAAATGCAACTAAATGTGATGAATACCATTTTTTTCACTTTTTAGATGGAATACCTCAGGTTTATTATTTTGGCCCTTGTGGCAAATACAATGCCATGGTGCTGGAACTACTGGGACCTAGTTTGGAAGATTTATTTGATTTGTGTGATAGGACTTTTTCCTTGAAAACTGTACTTATGATAGCCATACAACTGGTGAGTATAGCTTCTCTATAAATTGTCTTCTGTACCTTATACTTAAATAATATGAAAATATAAAGAATGCACAAAAATGTATCATTATTAGGTTCCTGGTGTGTTTTTTGAGCTTGCTTCTCTTCCTGCCAATGTTTCATTACCAGTCTAGGTAACGTCATCAGTGAAAGGGAGAGTGAAGTTTGCTAACTGTTTATAAATGGTAGGTTATATAATCTGATTTGATTTGGACATTATTTTTCCTTGATTGATTTTGGGCATTTATTATTGTAAACTATGGAGACATCTTTGACTTTGATGCTGCTTTTATTTAAAAAAAATAGAGAGCGATATATTATCTTTTATTTTGTAGTTTCTGTTTAACTGGTGCTGGTTCCTTATCTGGGTATTGATTTATAGGTGTGTGATGAAAAAAGATTTGTTCCTCTTTTTCTTTTTCTTTTGGTTGTTTGCTTTCTTAAATGGTTTGTACATAGAGATTATTTCAATATATCTTTTAATGGGTGATTAATTAGGGTGCTATGCCTTTAGGAATTTTCTATCATTTTTTCAACCGGTTTAATTTAAGATGTCTACAGTTTCCCTATTCAAAAAGTGGGTTGAACTTGTCTGTAGGAGTTTTTAATCACGACTTCTAACTGCCAGTTGACATTCCTGGATATTTTCTCTCCACGTAATGGTTTTCACAGTTCTTGCATTATATATTGTAAATATTTTTGGTCTTTGGATTTTGCTTAAATAGCTTTAAATAGATATCATTTATTTATTGCTACCTTAATGCATAGAAGTTATTGTAATTTTTGGGTAGTTTCTGAGATGTAGGATATATGATAAAGGCATCTTTTCATGGGTGTTTAGAAGGTAGTATAGTTGTTGGTTCTGTGTTGCACTAGTGTCTATCCATATAGCCAATAACTGCACAATCCATAATGGAAATTTGCTAGTGAAAAAAAAAACTTTGAATTATAGTGTGATTCTGCAGGCAGTATCCTTTTTTACACATAAATGGTACAAATGTAGCAGAATATTCTCAAATCTATGGATATCTAGCAGCCAGTTAATTTACAAGACATTAGAACTATGCAGATTGAATAAAGACTTTTTCTTCTGTATCTATTTTTTCTTCAGTGTTTCAAAGCTTAAAAATGCCTTTGTTGTATGAACTATCATTAACAACAAATAATGGCAACTAGTGTATAATTTAATGAAGGGATATTTTTAAAAAGTACTGTCTTTAATGGATAGGTATACAGTATATCACCAGCTATATTTATATTATGAACCAAAATAACATTAGGAATGTTTTGATTTTTAATTTCATTCATGAAAAATCTTGATTTCAAGTTAGGAAAACACAGTAACTCCTTCATTTGCTTTACGACTAAAGATATGATAATTTTTATTTTTTTAAACTTTCTTTCATTCTGTTTGATAGATTTCCCGAATGGAATATGTTCATTCAAAGAATTTAATATACAGAGATGTAAAACCTGAAAACTTCTTAATAGGACGACCAGGAAACAAAACACAACAAATTATTCATATTATAGATTTTGGTTTGGCAAAAGAATATATAGATCCAGAAACAAAGAAGCACATACCATATCGAGAACACAAAAGCCTTACAGGAACTGCTAGATACATGAGTATAAATACACATTTAGGAAAAGGTATGTATATATGTATGTATGTAAAAGCATGAACACAGCAGGTTCACTATATTTTAGTAAGCAGCTTATATATTTGTAATTTTTTTCTTACAAATTCAGTCTATTTCATTTAAACATGTGTAAGAGTATGGATATAATTCTTTAATGTTATCAGTGCATGGCAAAATTCTAATTTTTAATAAAAGTTTTTAATAAATGGTCAAGTTCAGTTATACTCTTCTTAATGAAAGTTTAGCTCTAAACAACTTGTACAACTCCACAATTATCCTTTTGTACTATTGCAAAACTGGATTTAAAACTAGTATTTCTTAGTGTGAACAGATCCAGTAGTTAGGACAGTTATTTATCCATAATGCAGCATTATTTATTAAGTTTATATAGCCATCCACCTCACATATAACAGCTCTGGGTGGCAAACACAATCACAGGTAATCCTTGACTTACGAACGTAGTGGAGCCTCCATTTTGGTCGTAAGTGACAATTGTAAATTGGCTCATCATATAACCAGCCTGATTGTATGATTTTGTTTGCAGCAGTCGTTACATGAATCATTATGGTCATTAACTGAATTCACAGTTGTTAAATGAATGCCACAGTTGTAAAGAGAACCTGTTGTTTGCTGTGGGATATTTTCCCCCAAAACTACAAGTAAACGCTGGTTTTCGACAAAAATGTAAATCACGGTCATGTAACTGTAGGATGCTGCAAATGGCTGTGAATGTGGGCTGGTTGCCAAGCGCCCAAAATATGGTCACACGAGAGGGGTCTGGCCGTTGAAACTATGGAACCTGGTTGTAAGTATCTTTTGGGGAGTCTGTTGTAACTTTGAACAGTTTATAAGTGACCAGTCATAAGTTGAGAACTATCCATAAAACATCAGTTGCAAATTGCAGAAAATAAAACACATTGGAAAACAAAAGAAAATAGTTATCAAGGAGAAACCAATCAACGACAAATTCATGGTGTCAGTTCTTCCATATTTTCATAATGAAGATGTATATAGATTTAAAGAAGGCTTACAATTTTCTCTTCTTACTTTAGCTTGTAAATTGCTGTGAAAACTTGTTAAAATGTTGGAGAAAATGTTTTCTGTATCGCTGCCTCCTGGACATCTGTAGTCAAAAGTTATAGAAGAAAAAAAAGAAAGAATCATAACATTCTAATTGGTTCAGTGATGAATCTATGTAGTCAGTTAATGCTTTTGCATTTCATGGGATTTGTTAGGTTTACTTGATGGAGCTCTTAACTCCCAATTTGTTGTTTATTTCTAATTTTCAGAAAATGTTAATATTATTTTATACACTTTCATATTTGTACATATTTTCCATTGATTTTATACATCAATTCAGAAATTTAGCCTTCATATTTTCAATTTACATTTTCAGAGCAAAGTAGAAGAGATGATTTGGAAGCTTTAGGTCATATGTTCATGTATTTTTTAAGAGGCAGCCTTCCCTGGCAAGGCTTAAAGGTAGTATGATTTTTTTTTTATTTGCCTTGATTCTTCTGATGTTACCAAAGTTTTACAGAATGTTTCTAAAGCATTTAACCTGATGTTTTTTCAACTTAGGCAGATACATTGAAAGAACGGTATCAGAAAATTGGAGATACCAAGAGAGCAACACCTATTGAAATACTATGTGAAAACTTTCCAGGTAAAGAATTCTGCTATTGATGAGGCTATGAGGTGGCTATATTGCTTGTTGTACAATATATTATAGTGCCAATTAATGCTGCAATAATTAGAGTCATAGAGTTGGAAAGGCCATTTAGGCCACCAAATAGCTTCCTGCACAGTTCGGGAATTGAAATTAAATCTGTCTAGACTTCCCTTGAACACTGCAAATGATGAGGAGCACATGAGTTCTATGATTAATTAACTGCAGTATGAAGTTGCTCATATGGTTAGGAAGCTTTATGTAACATTCAGCCAGAATCTAGCTTCCTTCCTGCAACTTAGATTCGCCATTTCCTGTCTTAAGTCTGCAACAAAAGATATCAGGTTTTGACCTAGTTTTTGTATGATATACTTAATAGGTATTTTGAAGAATGCTGACTCTTCTAATATTTCTAGTATTCTGTGAACCTCTTTCACTGTCCCTGAATTATTCTTAAAATTAAATGTCTAGAACTGGACATAGTATTTCATATGGTATCCTAACAAAGTAGAATAAAATGGAATAATTACCTGCTATGATTTGCTTTGTTGCTGTCATTAAATTTACTTTAAACTTTAAATTCACATTGCTGCCTATACAGTATTCAGTTTGCAATTATTCAAAGACCTTTTTTTACAAGTGCCTTTACTAAGGCAAGTATCCTCCAGCCTATATACCATGTTTCCCTGAAAATAAGACCCAGTCTTATATTTTTTTTGTCTCCATCCTTCCACCCCAGCCCTAGCTTGATTTTTACATGTGTGCCTTGCCCCAAAACTAGGGCTTATTTTCGGGGTAGGGCTTTTATTAAGCGCACATGTAAAAATCAAGTTAGATCTTATTTTCGGAATAGGTTTCATTTTCGGGGGAAACATGGTACATACAGTGCATTAAGAAGTATTCAGATCCCCTTCATTTTGTCAATTTTGTTATGCTACAGCCTGATTCTACAGTTGTTGAAATTCATTTTTCCTCATTAATCTACACTCAGTACCCCATACTGACAAAATGAAAACAGAACTTTTGAAATATCTTTAAATTTATTAAAAAGAAAAAACTGAAATATCACCTTGGCATTAGTATTCAGATTCTTTGCAACAACACATGAAATTTAGCTCTGATGCTTCTCATTTCTCTTGATCATTGCTGACATGTTTCTACACCTTGATTGGAGTCCAGCTATGGTAAATTAAATTGATTAAACATGATTTGGAAAGGCACACATCACTTTATAAAAGGCTGACAATGCATATGGTAGCAAAGCAAAAGCCATGAGGTCAAAGAAACTGCCTGCAGAGCTCAGAGACAGGATTATTGCAAGGCACAGATCTGGGAAAAGCAAAATAATTTTTTTGCTGCACTGAAGGTTTCTAAGAGCACTGTGGCCTCCATAATTCTCAAATGGAAGGGGTTTGGTACAACCAGGACTCTTCCAAAAAGCGGTCACCTGGTCAAACCAAACAATCGGGAGAGAAGGCCTTAGTAAGAGAGGTGATCAAGACCCCGATAGTCACTCTGACTGTGCTCCACAGATCCTATGTAGAGATGGGACAGAGTTTCAGAAGAACAACCTTCATTGCAGCCCTTCACTGATCTGGACATTATGGCAGAAAGGATAGATGGAAGCCTCTTCTCCGTGCAAAACACATGAAAGTGCATTTAGATTTTGCAAAAAAGCACCTGAAGGACTCTCAGACTGTGAGGAACAAGATTCTCTGGTCTGGTGAAACCAAGATTGAACTATTTGGCCTTAATTCTAAATGTTATGCCTGGAGGAAACCAGGCACTGCTCATCATCTGCCCAATACCATCCCAACAGTGAAGCATGGTGGTGGGACCATCATGCTGTTGGGATGTTTTTCAGCAACAGGGACTGGGAGACTGGTCAGGATTGAGGGAAAGCTGAATGGAGCAAAGTATAAAGGTATCTTCAATGAAAACCTGTTCCACAGCGCTCAGAACCTCAGACTGGGCCAAAGGTTCACTTTCCAACATGACAACAATCCTAAGCACACTACCAAGACAACACAGGAGGGCTTAGGGACAACTCTGTGAATGTCCTAGAGTGGCCCAGCCAGAGCCCTGACCTGAGCCCTATTGAACATCTCTGGAGGGATCTGAAAATGGCTGTCCACCGATGGTCGCCATCCAACCTGATTGAGCTTGAGAGGATTTGCAAGGAAGAATGGCAGAAAATGCCCCAATCCAGATGTGCAAAGCTTGTTGCATCATACCCAAAAAGACTTGAGGCTGTATTTGCTGTAGAGGTGCTTCAACAAAGTACTGAGTGAAGGGTCAGAATACTTATGCACTGTGATGTTTCAGTTTTTTCTTTTTAATAAATTTACAGGCATTTAAATTTCTGTACTGTATTGTATTGGGGAACTGAGTATAGATTAATGAGAAAAAATGAATTTCAACAACTGTAGAATCAAGCTGCAGCATAACAAAATTAACAAAAGGGAAAGGGGTCTGAATACTTTCTGAATGCATTGTATATACATTTCATTATTGTTCCCTGAATGAAGAATTTTGCCCTATTCTACTGCTTTTAACCCATTTCTCTAACATTATGCTCTTTAATCTGGGTGTTTATCCCATCTTCCACCCTTCACATGAGTGTTTCTTGATTTTTGATGAACACAATGAAAAAGAAGAAAGTAATGAATTTGCTCATCTGGTTAATTTTTTTTAAAATATGTTCAGTTTTCCTTGTTTATATGTTTGTCAGAACATTTTGCTGTCTTATTTGTACTTGGAATCCTGAGTTATTCCATCTATAACTCAATAGAAGTATCAGTAATTTAAAAGCATGTGCTACTCTTGTTATGTGAAGAGTTAAATTGATTATTTGAATTCTTGTATATTTGTTAACATGCCATGAGGAATATAAGAAGTGATCCATTTGTTCCTAGTTTTGAAACCATGCTCCCAAATATAAGTGACTCTGTTCATTACCTATCAAACAACTTTGTATATACATCAAGTCTTCTTGTTGAAAGAGTCTTCAAAGGTGTTCACTATTTCAGCAAACATTTTCAAATGAATCAGTGAAACTATCTCAATTCTGTAATCATCTTCATGAAAAACATCCAGGCAGAAATAATAAAGACTTGGAATAGTTCAGAAATCTTCATGAGTTATTTATTAAACATTAAACAATACTTTAAAAAAATGTTCTAAGAAGGCCAAACAGACTTACTCATTTTATGGTATTTCAGAGTTTATTGCTAACATAGCACTGATAATGCCATGATTGCAGGAAGTTATTTCTATAGCAATGCATCAGGAACCAACCAAAATACTGAAACTCTTACCAAATAATAGTACAGTGGTACAAAGGAGCATTGATGAAATGGGTAGTGATATTGAAAACAATAACATTCTCCCTACAGTTGGATAAAGCTGTGGACAGCAAAGCTTTATTAATGGACTATATACTATATTTTGAAGATAACTTTATCCTATAAGAAGATATGCAGCTACAAAAAGTCTTATAGCTATAGCAAATCAATTTTGCTGCATTAAAAGCATACTTTGAAAATGCCAGTATTCCATTAAGAAACATTATTGCTTGTGTAATAGATAGAGTTCTACGGAAGGAAAATATTGCAGATTTATGGCATTTTTGAAGAAGCAGCTCCAAATGTTTCTGTATTCACTGTATACTTCGCAAGAATCATCACTTTGCTGACCATTTTATGTCCAAGTGTACACAACTCACTAAATGTGGTAAATGAAATAAATAAGATTAAATTTAATTTCATAGGAATAAATTATTTCAGCAACTCTGTTAAGATAATAAACACTAGTCTGTTCATTTTTTAAACATGGATATTTGGTAGATTTTTAAGACAACTGTTTGATACAGTTTGTGGAATTATTCACGATTCTATCATATGGGAAAAAATGTCTGCAATAAATACCAAAATATGAAAAATATATTATTTACTTGGCTGGAATATTTCAGAAATTTAATGAGATTAATTTGAAACATCAAGATAAGCACTTGATGCACTTAAGGACTGAAAAAATGTTTCAATATATTTTATTGCTGTAAAAAATACACCACAATGAATGCACAAACCACTGTTCCATTTCTCTTTTAGCCAGATCAAATTTTGCTCTCATGAATTACATTGGTCAGTCTTTCCATTACATTTATAAAGAGCCACTTCAAAGGTTGAAAAATAATATTTGCTTCCATTCAAGATTTGATATCTAAGGTATTTTTTTTCCAACTGCCCAGTATCTCATTTGCTACATCCTAATGCTGATATACCCAAAGTTGTTATAACTCAAGAAGTTCTAAGTTTTCAATACATCATTCAACATTATATATGCAATTTTAAATGTTAATTCTATTCTGAATACTATATTGATTAAAATACAAAACCTAAACCAGAACAAAACAACCAAAGAGTAGAAGGTTCAGATCACCTATGTTAAATTTCCAGCACATATCTGCTTCTCTAGCACTTTCTGAGGTGTCCAAAAGGCATGAAAAAGATTTTTTTGATGAACTAACTTCACTTACAGTTTGTAAGCATATCAATTAAGATCCAAGCTTTTCAGTACAACTGGTGGGACTTCAAAAATTGTGTGTAAGAACACAGAAAATAATTCATATAAAAATATTACCCAAAAAAAAAAGGTTTCATTTTGTAACCTGCATCATGATGTTCATGGCATGGCATTTAAATATATTGTGAATACCTACAAATTACGAACAGAATTTGTTTAGAAGATCTGGCATTCTGCTTCATAAATTTTATTTTCAGAAACTGAAATAAATTTCTACTACAGAGTTTCTCCACTGAAAATTACATATACATTCCCCAGTGATTTTGAGATTGTTAATTTCTGTTACAATCCTGTGCAGACACATGTTTCAGTTCTATTCAGAGATAGATGCTGTAGAAAATGCTGTAGAAAAATGCTGTAGAAAATTTTCAGCAACATTGTACTGTAGGAAGAAGATAATTAGCATTGTATTGGTTACATAAGACTATATCAAAATGACGTAGTCAAAAGATGTACCTATTATAACTTGTATGGGTTTTTTAGATAATATTAATGATGGCCTTTACTGAATGTGTTCAGGTGGACGCTGGACAGCCATTTGTCAGAGGTGCCTTAATTTGGGTTCCTGTATTAAGCAAGATATTGAAGTAGTTTCCATGATTTTCTTTTATTTTATTTTATTAAGTCTATGCAAATAATTTGATGCATTACAATCTGAGTGACACATTTAATTGGTAAATTGTGCTTGCTTAATCATTCCATTCCTATATTTTGGTATACTAATGGCATTAGGGGAAAAAACATGTTACTTTTTGTCAAACAATCTTTGACTAACAATTTTTCTATACTCCCTTCTCTCTTCAGATCTTCTAATCACAAATGTGTTAGAAAGACATATACAATTTTAATAAATATACTTGATAAGATTGGAAATATGTCTATTGAATGCTAATTTATAAAGATATTTTCTCTTTTTATGCTAAAATGCTGAGGCTTACAATAATTGAACACTATTTTTTCTAGCAATTAATATAACCAATGCTTCTTTATTTCGTCTAGAAGAAATGGCAACATATCTTCGTTATGTGAGAAGGCTAGATTTTTTTGAAAAACCAGATTATGACTACTTAAGAAAGCTTTTTACAGACTTATTTGATCGCAAGGGTTATATGTTTGATTATGAATATGACTGGATTGGTAAACAACTGGTAAGTATAGTTCAATATTTTTTTATATTCTTAAAAAAATGACTGTTCTAATAGACAGTATAAAAATGTAATAGCCTTTAATTAGCTTACATTGTATGGTCTTATATTGCTTAGGTAATGTTTTATTGCTCCATTCTTTATGGTAAGATTATATGCTAGCTTTATATGCATTGATGCAAAGTGGCTGTAAAAAAGCATACCATAGTTAAAATTTTGTAAAAACCATTCAATTCACTATTAAAACTAATTCAAATTAGAATGGCCCTGCTAAATAGAAGATGTTAATTCATTCACACAAAACCCACCCCCTCCCCTCTCTGCTAAAAATTATATTGTGTGGGTGAGAGAGACCAAACTATGGCACATTATTACTCCATATTCAATTTGCAATCAGTACTGTTCCAGTATCCCATAGTACAGTAGTTCTCACCTTTTTTTCACCACAGACCCCCTTTAAATACCTTTTGTGGCCATAGACCATGACACAGATCTCAAGACTTAACTCAAGATTTAAATCATAACATTTCTTCAAGCCTTCCCAGACCCCCTGTGATGACATTGTGACTCCCCAGGAGTCTGTAAACCACAGGTCGAGAACCACTGCCACAGTATATTTTAATGAACATCTGTGACTTTGACTTTTTTTCTTAGAAGAACTTTTCACTTGCCTCAGTTAAATTCCATTCTTTTATGTTCAGCTTCTTTTTTTAACTCAGCAAGATAATCTTGAGTATTATCTCTTTCTTTTAGATTATTGTTAGGACAGTTTTGTGTCACCTGAATTTTGTAGGATCATTGCCTCCCTTTTCTCATGCAAGTGGTTTGAAGAATAGAGAGATTTACTGAATTCCATGTAGTACTTTGCTTCAATTTGTTGAGAAAACATTGATGAGCACTCCTAAATTATAATTTTCATTACACCTATGAAACTAATAAATTATTTTAAGATTATTTTACCATTAACTTATTATAAGTTAATCTTATAACAAACCAATGAAATTATTCCCCTCTGTCCACATGTTCCAATACTAAAGGCTTGCAAGTCAAGTTATCGTGGAAACTAAAAATAATCTTTCACTATTTCTCAAAAAAAAAAATTTGTTGCCCCAGTTTTCTTATCATGTACCTATAATGCATTCTGTGCAGCCTACTCCAGTGGGTTCCATCCATTCAGATCCTGCGATAACTTCCAATAGAGAAGCACATCCACACAGAGATAAGATGCAGCAGTCCAAAAATCAGGTATGCCTGTTTCATGTTGCATTGTAATAGTAATAGCTTGTGACTAAAGTTATATATCATTTGTTTCTTTGAAGAAACATTTATTAATATCAATGTTTTGACTCTAGACTTTAATCTTGTATAATACTATATTGTACAATATAATGCTAAAAGTTATTATTGTTAGTACAGGCATAATTAAAAGGAATTTGAAAGTTTAATAGTGGATTTGAGATTATCCCATTGCAGTCTTCAAAGGGAATTTCTCCGTCTTCACAGTGGTTAAACATATTATCATGGGAATTAATTAGAGTTCTGTATAATCAGTATCCTCTTTAGGTCAGGATTTGAAGCCAGCTTCAAACTCATATTTTACATATTTTTATTGCTGAATTCTCTTCGTTTTGGGGATAATACTGATGCTTGTTAACTAATTTATTTGGTCTAAGAAAGGAAAAATTCATCTGTAGAAGTAGTCCCACTTTCATTTGATCTTTTTATAATCATTGAAGTTGTTTATTTTGAATCTTCTGAATCTATTTTTTTTATTTTAAAAACTAAAATAAACAATGAACTTTAAATGTAAAATTAACATTATTATTATAATTCCTGTAACTAATTTGGCTTTTCTTAGAATTTTTGGAATGAAAAATAACCACATGGAAAATATTTTTTGTCAGCAAGAATGAGTGATAACATACTATACTGTACTTTATCTTAATTTTTGTGTTTTTATATACTCAGGTTTTTCCAGCTCTGTTGCATGGAACCTGAGAAATGGAAGTGGGGAAGGAAAGAAAGAAAGAGAGGGAGGGAGGGAGGGAAGAAAGCAAGGATGGAAGGAAGGGTAGACATAAAATAACAGAGTGGAAGAAAGGGACAGGAAGAAAGGAAAGGAAGGGAAGAAAGGAAGATTTCCAGCACTCCCTACCAGCTTCCTACAAGGAAACTCAATAGGGAAGCTGGCAGGAAGTCAGAAGTTGCTTCTGCTCCAACTGTCCCCCCCCCCCCCNTGTTTCTCTGTTCCTCACTAAAGAAATATCTCTGAAACAGTGACCCATTGGGTCACAGGTTTGCTAGTAATAAAGTGTATATTAATTTTGCCATCTCGACATTATCTTTAAATATAAAATAAGTTATAACTTTAAAATATAGTAAGATAGGTTATGGACATATCATGTTTTAGTATTTAGGCATTAAATTTGACTATAATTCAATATGTATAAGTTAAGTGTGCATGCCACGGAAATACTGAAGTTCTTCTCGTTTTATTATTTTGTGCTCCTCAGTGAAAATTCTTGAGGTGTTTATGAAATGGGAAACAAAACAGTATTTTCAATAGAACAGCCCACCTAAAACATTCTGTAGAATATTTTAAGTTGGCTGTGTCCAGCTATTCTATGTCTTAATGGAACAGAACTAAAAACATTTCAAGTATTGTGGCCATTGGTAGCAATGGACACTCAGAACAAGTTCCTTGCCCCTTTGTTTTTCATCCATATGAGGATGCAAGAATAAGTAGGATAGCAGTCTATTATTACAGCTTTCTCCCCAAAAGTGTGCGTACATGTGTGCGTGCGTTCTTCAATTAGCTATTAGGTTCAGTTTGGTTCAATAAGTGAAATCAACATAAAATCATCTTTGCATTTCTAAATGCATACTGGAGATTTCTTATTTGTAGGCCCAAGATGATGCCCAGACTGCATACAGAAATCTTCAGCAAGCTACACCAAGACAGCAACTTTTCATCACTATAAATACACTCTGATAACTCCACATCAACAAGCAAAATAGATAAGATCAGAAAATAACTATAATATTCTAAAACAAGATTTAAAAAATGAACCCCCAAAGAGGGTTTGCTTTAGAGAGCACACAGATAGAATATAAACTTAGCAACACAAGCATCAGCTACAGTGACTCCAGCCTAATCGCAAGTCCCTCACAGCACTCCTGTTCTTCCTTTTATTCTTCCATCAAGAAAAGTTCAATCGGGAATGGGTAATGACTTAAACATGTGGTGTGTAATTACCTTCCCACTGCTTTGCTCCAATAGTTCATTTCTCTGTTACCTAAGCATACATTAAACTTGATATTAAATTTAGAAAATAAAATCCCAATCATAGGAAGCAAGAAACACTCAAGTTGCTTGAAGCAATACTTGAAATGATGACAATAAAAAAAGCTGAGTTTTGTTTCATTCTCAAACTCTCAAAACACTCTCAGATCATGGGTGTTTTATTTCAGGAACATATTGCTTGATCAGCTGTTTCATAATCAAAATGGCTCTCATTGGAATCATTTTGCATGCCTCTAATTATTCAGAATAATTTAGAAATTAGTTTTCTTAAAAAAAGTGTATAGTTTCCAAAATTAGTTCCCCAAATATTTTTATTCTGCATGGAATTCCATGTTTGAAGTGTTGTTGAAGTGATGCATTGTTATGCATCTTTTTTTTTT